TCCCTCCCCGCTTTCGGCGCCCAGAGGTTTCCATTATGCCCATAGCCCTTTTCTCCATGGCTGCCTCCTGGCCTAGTTTCTCACCCCACAACAAGGGCTCTACCCCGCGGGCCCCTCTTGGTGCCTCCAGTGTATCCTTTCCCCAAGACTACCACATCCCCACTGTGCCCTCGCCCTCCCCGCACACCCGCAGACAGAGGTTCGTAGACACTGATGACTTGATGCAATTTGCTTGACCTTTGCAGGCTGCTTCCTCCAGCAGGAAGGGAGTGTGTGCTGCTAAGGATAGTAACCCCACCGCCAGGTCCTTTGCCAGCCCCACTCCCAGGGTCTCCACTGAGACGCTCACAGCGCCTTTCCCAGGAAGCCTCGAAGCCCCTCTTTGACAGATCGTCTATTCCACTAACATTTCCACTTTACTGACCAGGAAATTGAGGTTCAGAAGGGTAGAACTCTTTACCTAAAGTGTCATGGCTAAAACTTGATGGTTTAGGATCAGATTCCAGGCTCAGTGTCTGCTAATAGTTTCTGGTAAACTCTCACCAAATAGATTGTGAAATTAAATATTAAAAGTCCCACGAACTCTCCAACAAAAGAACTGAATCAAGAAAATGGACAGGAAATACACAAAAATAGAAATAAAAATTCTAAAAAAAGCTTACCGTAGAAATCCAAGTACTAACACAGCCTAACAACTACACAAAATTGTTCTCCGTGTCTTGGCTTTGAGGCCTGTTCCTGGGGTAATTTGGATCGCTGATTCAGAACATCACGCTGGAAAGATCACATCAGCTCTTGTTTCTTAGATATAGTATTTCACTATATTTCCATCTATTAAGTTATAGTAACTTATTAATTTATCATCCTAGTTTTGAATATGAGAAAATATCAGACCCCCAAATTACAGGAAAAGACAGAAAAGATAAGAGATATTTTTTAAAGAATTAATTATTAGGGGCCTTCTGAGGGAAACAAACTGTATCTGGACCTTTGGTGGCTACTTGGTTACACATTCAGCTGCCCAGCATGAGGCCAGTGATTGGACCCACCAGCCACTCTGCAACCTTTAAAGAGGTCAAGGTTTTGTAACCCCAAAGGGGTCACTATGAGTTAGAGTCAAGTAGACGGCAGTGGGCTTGTCTGTTTGGTACGGAGGCTGTGCACTCTACACAGAGACTCTACAAGTCGGACGCTGCGAAGCCGGAACCCAGCTTGAGAAGAGTGGAAATAGAAAAGACGCATGTGTGGAGGGGGTGGGGCCAGGTTAGAATGTTGAACATGTAGGGCTTCATAGCAATTTTCCTAAATATTATGAAGCTCCAATTTTTCCTTCTTCAAATTATGCAGTAAATATTTAAGAACACACTTTAATCTGTAGAAGTCAATGCATCATTCGTGTGAAATGTTTCAGTGGTGACGTTGACTCTAAGCGTCTCTATGAGCCTATATTCATAGCTTTAGTATTAAGGTAGCAGAAGGACATTGGGCCTCCACTCAAGTACTCCCTCAACGCAAGAATACTTCGTTCTATTAAATTGGCATTCTATGATGCTCACCTTCCCGACACAACTGCTGAAGACAAAGCAGGTGAATAAGCAAATGTGTGAAGAAAGCTGATGGTGCCCAGCTATCAAAAGATATAGCATCTGGGGTCTTAAAAGCTTGAAGGTAAACAAGCGGCCATCTAGCTC